CTCTGCCTGTCAGATCCTGCAGTAAGCTCTGTAAGGGTCTTGAGGGCTTAGACTGTCTAGATAGAGCAGATGCTGACTGTGGGGAGGGTCATGGTCTTCTCTGGAGGTGTGCAGGCTGGGTCACAGCCATTAGCCCTCAGTTTTTAAGCAGATGCTCTCAGTCTGGAGATTGGGCCTGGCAAGCATGGTCTGGGAATGAAGTTGCCTTGGAGACTGGGCAAGATTTTTAATCACAGATTGAAAAGACATTCTGCTCTCTCCCAGTAATTATGTACAGGTTAACCCTCATCTTGTAAACAGGCTTTCATCAGTTTCTCACTGTCATTAACCTCTTCTGAGTCTTCTGTCATTAACCTCTTCTGAGTCTTTCTGTCTACAATAGGTCTCTACAAGGATACACACCAGTAAGGTTAATGTAAACTGGCGATTGGATTGGAGGTGGAGCAGAACAGGGGAAAAGGATTCTCTTCTACCCATGACAGAGGAATGCAGGTTGTTTGGGTACTTTACAGCCTGGCAGGGGAGTTATCTGAAGTGACAGGATTTCTGCCTGTTCCCTAAGGCTCTCACTTAGTTGTAGCCCATGTGTCAAGACAATTCTTCTATGCAGACAGCTGGCAGAGTGCAAAGTTTCGTAGTATTTGCCTGCAGATGAGTCAGCAGAAGAGGAATAGCTTGCTCCTCTAAAGTGGAATGATCTTGTAGGCAAAGCAGCACATGACAGTCACATCTGACTGTGCCAACGCCCTCCAAGTTCAGAGGGATGATCAGGGAGCCTGGGAGCAGGCAGTGCCACCCAGGGAGCCGTGGGTGTTGAAGGGACCTCGCTGGTCCAGTCTGCCAGTCTTGGGCTGACTCAGATCCCTGGTGGGAAACGCAGCAGCTTTGGGCTGGAGCATTTACTGAGTTGTTGCAGTCACTTCTTGTTTTGCACAGGCTTTGAGTTTAAGTAGCAGGATTTATTTTGCCTTGTTGCATAAATCTGCAAGTGGAAAGCAGTAGAAGCGGCAGAAGAAATCCCGATAATGCGTGTAGGTTCGCAGATAATAATATTCTCCAAGAAATTCCTTGGGACATAGAACAGAAAGAATGCAGGTGGGGCAAGTGTTCATGCCATCAGTGTGCTTAGGGTGCAGCAATATCTGATCTGCTTCTGTGGTGTAGTGTGAAGCAGCAGTTCTCTGACAGCACTGAGGCTAAACAGAACATCAGTACTGTCCGGGAAGATGCATACAGTGAGATAAGGCTTTGGGTAAGCAAGATTTGCCACACCTATTCTGACCTTCTCCATCTGCCAGAGGTGTGAACTTTGGTGTTGTGGTTAAATTCCAGCTCAGATTATGGTGTAGTTAACTCACACTAAGGGAATAGTCTTAAAATTCCTTCCCTGCCTACACATTTTTTTCTTTGTGGTGATCAATGCTTGTCCTTCTTCCCTCCCAGAACTGGCTGCATTTCAGTGGGAAATAACTTAAGCTTTGTAGTATCACTCTTAGCAAAGTGCTGGATGCTTTCTGTTATTGCCACAGTTTAAAGAAAATACCTACTTCTCCCTTTGACCTCTTCTTCTCCTTCTTCAATATCTGCACTTGGGGATTCAGAGGAGTGATGCCCTGACAGGGAGAACAGCTCTGCTCCTTGCAGAGCCCGTACAACTTGCTCTCAGGGCGAGCTAGGTGGTGGAATGTGCTTCTTTGATACGGGATGTGCACCAAAGAAGTTTTAGCAGCAAAGTCCCGCGTGGTTTGTGAAGTGTTGCCGGGACTGTGATCTGCCCATGACTTTCCCAATGGGACACTTCTTAACTTTGCTCCTAGCAAGCAGTTTCTTGTGTTCACCATGGACTCAGTAATGCAGGAGGGTTTTGTTTAAGGCGTAATTTTGTTTAATGCCTTAAACAAAATAGAATTCTGTTAATATTTTACAGCAGGGCTCTTTCTTCTGGTTATGCCTGTTTTTTGCCTTGGAGTTTTTCAGAACGAACTTGGAGAGTTATCTCCTCTTTCCCCTTCCCCATCTGCTGCAAATGTAATTCGTTTTAGAACAGTCAGTGTTTTATGCGTTTGGGGAAGTAAAGCTGTGTGCTCATGTGTTAGGCTCAGCTACAGATGCTGGATCTCATTGTTAGTAAGTAATTGCTTGGAGTGCTGTTTTAGTCATTTGGGTCAAAATGAAACGTTCTAAGATTAGTAGCTTTAGTGCAGTAACGTATGGTTTGGTTTTTTTTTAAAAAAAAAGTGTTCCCAGTTTTTAATGAAGACAAGTTTGGTGCTAGGAGGACTTCCCAGAAACGCACTAGCCACAGGATAGAAGTTTTTAAAGCTCTGAAGAGTGGGAAAATTATTATTGTTTAATTTCTGCATTAATTTGAGTAATTAGCAGAACTGCATCACTCATGAGGTGCCCAGCCCAGCTCTCCGGACACTGCAGAGGCTCCTTCAGCAACATCTAGCCTGTAAAATTAGAGCAGATAGAGTGTATTTACGCCATCCTCGAAGCAGGTTTCACCCTTGGTATGTCAGGTAGAGCTGCCGCTGAGTGGCTGGTGCTGTCTGACCACCGCTGCTTATTTAATTCAAAGCAAATCCGTTTGCTTAAGCTGTTGTTTGCCATCATTTGACTGCATATACTGTGAGAAGTGTAAAAATGAGTTAGAGTGGAGGAAAAGGGATGGTTGGGTGTGGGAGGGGTTGGAAGAAGCTGTTGAAGATTTCTCCTGGGCTTGGTCAGTGCTGCTGTACCTCGGCATAAAGCACAGTGGTGGCCTGTGCTGTAACCTGCAGTTCTTTGGCTGGCCATGTGCTCAACACCCAGGAGCAAGGTACTGGTGATAACTCACTCTACTTGTGTGCAGAGAAGTTGGGCTGCTCTGATGGGCCAAACTAACATGGGAAGAGCTTCACACATTTGTTCGTGGAGGCTGCTGTGTCCCTACTGCAGCACCAAAGCCTCTGACAGTGCTTTTTGATGTTTTGCTGGGCAGTGGTTCAGAATTGTGTTCAGCAAATTAACAGACCTTTTAATTCTCTCCAAAGGGAAGGAAAGTGAGTGGTCAGAGACCAACAGGTAACTTGAAGCACAGTGGAATTATTTTGACCAAATAACAAGCAAATCTGCTGCTGTTGCCCCCCGCTATTTCCATGAACACTGGGGTTACTTGAAGCAGAGACAGAGCTCTGTTGCTTTTTGAGAACTGGATGGTTTCTGCTAGGACCATGGTGGTGAAGAAAATAACTGATACAGACTGTGCTTGCAAGATGACACCTTGCAAAACCTAAGAATTACTTGTGTCATACCCTGTTTTCACAGAGACTCTCTGGAAGCTGCTACATTTATAGCAGAGATCTTGCCTGAAAGTGAAATGTTTGCTTAAGCGTTTGAAGACTTGGAGCTCAGGGTTGCAAACTTTTTTAGCCCAGGATTGCTTTTGGACACTCCCATGTATTTGTCTGTTGTTAGGAAATAGTAAATTAATTACTGGAATAGGAGAGACTCGGTAAACTTGACTCAGAAGCATTATGGAGTGAGTGCTGGATGGTTCACATGGTTCTGAAATGTCCTTGTGGCTGCTCTTCACTGTCACTTTTGTCTTCTCCCCAATATTTTTTGGCTCCTCACTCACCTAAGATTCTCTTTTCGTGTTCTTAGTGCCTTGTGTTAGGTCTAGCAGAACAGTCTGGGATCCTTATGTGCATGTGGCCCAAAACCAGTTCAGCTGTGGTTGGTCCTACCATTGTTCATAAGGTATCATCTTGTTGGTGCCAGGTGGGGAGAGCAGTATATTCACGTGTTATTAAACTGCGTTTGACTCCCAGCTTTGGAACATTCCTTAACCTGGAGTCATTTGTGCTTGAGTAAGTCCCATCACTAAATCTGCTTCTTAACAGCTCTTCTTCACAAAGCCAACACTTCTTGGTTGCTGAACAGCAGAGCTTTGCCCAGTGGCCCATACTGAGGACAATCCCAGCTCATCCCAAGCATGAACGCTCTGTGGAGACCCTCTGCCGAGGAGAGGGGTGGTGTCCAGATGGACATCTGCCCTTTCTCAAACCTCATACTTGCCCCATCTGACATGTCCCAGCACACCCACTGCTTGTGGGTGGAGAGACGTTTTAAATTCCACACAGCTCTTATTATTAGGGTGCTGAGGCACGCACACCATTCCTTGGCGGAGGGGTCATGCCGCTCTCGGGAACGCCAGGTCAGAAGCGCCACTTGCTGCACTGGAGGGCTGCACGCCTCAAGTGAGCAGGAGAGATAATGCTGCTCTTTAGTTACAAGCTTTGCAAATCTAGCACTTGTTTCTAACTCCTCAGCAGCTGAGAAGGGAGTGTTTGCTGCCATGCCTTTCTGTAAAGTCCCTAGCTTTGCTTCAGCTGTGTGAAATGCTGGGTGTCCTAATGCTCCAGGGCCCTTTTTGGAAGGTACAGTGGCTCCAGCTCAAAAGCACAGACAGCTTACTTCCAGATAGCTGTCACGGTTTCTGTCCCAAGCTCGTTGTCTGTCCGTCTATTCATCACAGAAGCAGTTCAGCTGAACCACCATTAATTACAACCTGGTACATAAAGTGCCAGAAGTAAGTGTGCCCTAAAGTGGTGTCAGCAGCTGCTTCACCATGGGCTGAGTCACCACTGCGGTGGAGGCAGGGGACAAGAGGAGAGCATGGTGGCAGCCATCCCAAGGTGAGCCGTCCCCACTGGGGAGCTGCAGCTTGGTCTTACACAAACAGCAAACAAGCAGTTATTTAAGTTATGACCATGGGTTGTGCCCTTCCCTCACCCTTTATCCTTCTGCTTCAAGTTGCTCCTTCCTCTTTTCAGGACTGTACAGGGATGCAGCACACCCACCAGCCATCTTGGTGGGTGGGAGGAATGGGGCACTGAAGGGTAGGAGATCAAAATGAGAGCTGGGGGGGGCTGAATGCAAACTGGACATGCCTTAATCTTTAGGTTGCTTTTCAGATGCTAAAATAGCATAATTAGCGTTGTAGTAATGATTTATAACTTGCATTGCAACTCGTGTGTGTTTCTCTCCAGCCAGCTGACTGCTGCACGCGTCTCTGCAGAGTGGCTCTGGGTTGCGTTAGACGATTCAGTATTCCCACCAGGCACTGTTTGTCAAGCCTTGGCAGCTGATGCCAAATACAACTGGCTAAGCCCCTTGTTAGGTGGCTGTGTCTTTGCACTGACCTTCTGTACACTGTGCCTGCTGTTGACTGATTCTGCTTTGGAAGAACTGAGAAATATATCTTTTTTTTTTTTCCTCATCCTCCTCCCCCTTCATTTTGTTCCAGTTCTTACTGGACGTGCTTGGCAAGATGGAGCCGCCGACCTCTTCCAGGCTGAATTCCCGAAAGAGAAGAAAAGATGGATCTGGCCCCAATGGGGCAACAGAGCTGGATGGAATCCCTCCAAAAATGTCCCGGCGCTCACTCGTAAGTAAGCAGAGATAGGAGCTTTAGGTGCCCGCAACACTGGGCCTAACAGCAGAGAGAGAAATTTGATAGTTTTTCTGTGGACACAGAAAGCAAGCTGGGGGGCGAAGAAGCAAATGACAGTGGTTATCCTTCTTGCAAAGCCAGTTTAATATCTTCCTTTCTTCATGCTAATAACATACTTACAACATGGGCTTAAATTAGGTCTGAGGCAAGCGTTGCTAAGCTGCTTTTGTGGTGTGTACGGCTTGTTTGTAGTCACTTAAGCTGAACCCAAGCAGGCATGCTTATAGATATCCATGGAGGAGTAAGCATTCATTTCTCACAGGTGGGTTTTCTTTAGTGACCCAGCAAAAGGGAGGAATACTTCAAACAAACACATGACAACTCATGCACCTCACAGAAAGCAGCCCTGGTCAAGTCAGGGGAACTACAGGAGAGTCTGAAGTCTTTAAGCACTTGCAGAAGCAGTCTGTTGACTCCCTGCTCTGAAACACTGGGGAGGTGACTGTTCATTTGGTTGTTTGGTTCCCTTGGTCTCGCAGGAGACTGCATTTATGTTGTTGGTACTTCAAGAGTGTTCAGAAAAAAAAAAAAACAAACCACCAACTGAAAGGATTTCTCCTTCTAGATCAACCTTGGGATGGCTTTAACAAGCTAAAGCCAGTGGGGTCTCTTCTAAAGGGGGTCTGTGCCAGTTCGTGCTGTTGTAGAGGGCTGACTTTAACTTGTCCTTGCCACAGTATTGCGATGACGAACTTTTTACAGCTCTTCTCTGCCCTCTGCCTGGAGCTGTCCTGTGTATCACGTGTGCTCTAGTTGCTCTTTCCTTATCTCTGTCAAAAGCCAGCTACCATCCCTGCCACATCATAGTGGGGTCATAGTCCTTGGCAAAATACAGTGATGTGTTGCAGCTTTCCTCTTTGATAACAACATTTTGCTCTTCAGGAGGACTTCAGTCCTGTCCCAGAGCATTTGACAGATGGTAACAAAGTAAGAGCAGCACCCGCAGTGAGAACTGGGGAGGCATTGGGAATGGAGGCTTGAGCTGATACGTGACTTATCCCACAGAGGCTTTATATCCTTAACTGTTGTCAAACCCCATCCAGTCCCTCTTAAAGACCCCACATATTTCAGCAGGGCAAGAGAAATGCACAGGTTATTCCATGGGAATCACTTGCTCTTGGAGTTGGTGTCTGTCCTGTGTTAGAAAGAAAGCATCTGTCTATGAACAGCCCAAGGCAAGTAACCTCTAGCCACTTTCTAAACTTCCTGGCTGTTTTGTAGCCACAGCGCCAACGCAGACCTCCTGATGAAAGATTTATTTTTCTTCCTTTTGTGAAAGATTTATTTATTATAGCAAGAGTAATAGTTTTGCCTAACTGTGACAGTACCTTGAGGCCTTTACCCCTCCCAACTAAACAGCTGGCTGGCAGAGTGTTCCCCCCCTGAAGCAGACAGCTCAGCAGCAGATGGTGGTTACCAGCCAGCTGACACATAAGCCTGTTGTGTTGTGCACGTCAGTTTGAGTCCTGACCCTTGTAGGCGCTGCAGACAAAGGGCAAGACTCTGGCAGGAGCTTTTGAGGATATTTTTTGTGGTCCCCTAATAATTTTGTTAGGGTTTGTTAATGCTTTTATTCCTAGCTTCATATCAGGTATGTGCCAACCAAGCTGTGAAGAATCTGGTTTTATTCACAAGTCCCAGATGTAATGGCAGTGATGAAAGGAGGGACTTGCAGGCCTCACCTAACAGTGAGGATCCTGGCAGAGGAGGTGGTGTGTGAAATGCGGGTACTAGAGCATCAGTAAGTTAAAGGAGATTTTCAGCAGTATCAGTTTGCTTGAATGTAGTAGTCAGTGGCTGCTTTCCTCTGCACTTCACTCTGAGCACTCTAATGAGGGATGGCATTTGCATTAGCAATAATAGCAGCGGTCTTTCTGGTTGCAGTGGTGCTGGGCACCGTGGCAGGATGCTACAATGGGACAGGAAGCCAGAGAGGAAACTGCTAATTAGCTTTTTGCAGCTTGAAGGTATTGTTGTAGTGACCTGCAAGCTTGTTTCCTAGTCTTCTGGCTCAGGAAAGAGACATCTGTTGCTGCCCCACACCTCCTGGCTAGAAGGAAATTGAGCTGTTTGTTCTGTTATGGGAAGGGCAAATGTTTTGTTTCTGTTCAGAGGAGACCAGAAATGATACCTGGACTTTGGCTGATGATTAAACATACTGCTGTGGTCAAGCTAGCAGATTAGAGGGGTTTTGCTGCAGCAGTTGGAGATACTCTGCCACAGATCGAGGTCAGCCTCTCACCGTGTATGGCTCAGTAATACGTGACGATACACACATTCCCTGGGAATTTGTGCTGCTGTTGGTATTGCTCTTGTGCTCGTTCACATGCTCAAATCAAGGAGCTGTTACAATTTGTGTATCATGGCACAAGCACTCAGGCACTGCAAAGTGATGGTCTTGCCCAGGTGGGCATAGCTGGAGCTGCAGCAGTGAGATGTGATGAAGCTTGGCTTGTGCTGCTGTGAGCTGCTGTTTGTCAAAGTCTGGTTCTACCAGCTGCAGATCTGAGCCTCCAGTTTTCTTGGGTCCAGCATGACTACCATCTTCTTAACTCTACTTTTCTCTCTCTCTTCCTCTCTAAACTCAGCCTGATCACCCTGGAGGGCTGTTTTGAGGTTTAACTCTAATGAGTCTTTTAGTACATGTGTTTGAATTGTGCAGAGACACAGTGAGTCATTCAGTGACGAGGACCCTGCAGTGGCAGCGCTGCTGCTATGTACTGCACTCACCTTTGCATTCTCACAGCTAACCTTCCCTGTCTGTTTAGGGACTGAGGGAACCAGCTCCATTTTCAGATGAAGTGGAAATCGATTACAGCAAGCCATACATCAGAGTAACATTCGAAGAAGCGATGAGAGGAACCCCTTGTAAGTAAAAAAAAACAAAAAAAAAACCCAACCAAAAAACCAGGACTGGAAGGGGATTGTATAAATGTTGGCTTTTGGGTGGGTGGGCATGATTGTGATATCTCTGAGACTGAAACAACCTTGTTTGTCAGACCAGGTTTGCAGCCAGTGACTTAGTTAATGTTTTGGTGATTAGATAACTGTTCCCATGTGAAACTGGGCCTGCCAGTACAGCTGAAATTGGGGCTTTATATGTGAGGAGCCATACCTTCACCAGTAAGACTATTTGAAGCAAATAGATATTTGTGTTTTAGCTCTTCCTGTGCCACTGACGGCTGTAGAGTAGTATCAGAGCTGAACATTTTTCTGTACTACTTTGTCTGAGGCAGCTTAAGGTTAAGTACTTTAAAAGTAATTTTTTCTGAAACTTGAAATGGGCAAGTGAAACCAACATATATCTTTGTCCAGAATGTCCCGTTCTAGCCTGGATTTGAATTAAAGTCAGTGTCATTAAACACAGAAGGCCAGCCCCACAACAAGAACATGTTCTTTTATTCTCTAAATCAGGCTGGGAGAAACACTGTTCTCTTTGCAAGTGCAAAGGGGAAGCAGGGGCAGGACTGACCCCTGAAGGATGGCTGCCCTCTTTTGCCAAACAAAGTGTGCAGACGGTGCTGTCTTACCTGGCCACTTTGTTATGGCTACAGTGACGATTAAAATGCAGCACTTACACCTACCTGACTGCTGCTGAGAGATGAACCAGCTCAGATTGAGACCTGGCAGTAGTTTCCTGCTGGAGGTTCTGGAAATCCAATGCATTTCACAGTCTGCATTAATTTACCAGCTGAAAGCCTCCAGAGCCTGCACAAAGGTCTCTGATTTCAACAGTGATGGCTCTCCAGCCTGCTAAGACTAAAATACACTGCATGCTTCCTTGTTGCCGTTTATGCCTGTGCTCAGGAACTGTAGCTGCTGCAGGTATGGAGGGGAAGGATGTCCCAACCAGTTTCCAGAACATGATTGTACTTTCATAAAGGCCTGCCAGGACCAACCCTCTTCTGGCAAACAGAAAGCTTTTACAGTCTCAGATCTACAGATTCTTGGCTCTCCAGAGCCTCCTGGCATCTTCAGACTGAAGTGGATTTGCTGAAAAGTGATTGTAAGAGGCTGTCCTCAAAGTGACTCCTCTGCTTAGCTTGAGGAGTCACACACACACACACAACCCTACCTTTGCATCAACTCATTCTCTTGCTGCCTCCCTGGCTCTGTCTCTAGGAACCTTCATGGCCCTGCTCAGACCCAGGCTGTGTCAGCTCTCCTGCTGGGTCTTCTCTTTTCCCCTTTCTCGCTGCAGCTTTGGTGTGCCTCTGCTCACAGCACTCCTTTGAGTCTGTCTACCTGAACTGGGCCAGAGAGCAGCAGGCCGTTCCCAAGTGTGTCAGATACCGAGAGTGTGGTTTTTTTCTCTTACCAGCAGCAAGAGGACTGCAGTCCTGTGTGGTCCCAGGAGACCAGAACTCAGGGAGCCTCTTACTGTTATGTGACAGTGCTAGACTATCTCACTTTACCTCTGTGATGACCTCAAAGAGCTGAGCTACAATTTTCCCTGGCAGTGGTGGCCTCAGGAAAGTTTTGTTCCTCCTTGTTTATCTGTGGACTTTGCTGATAGTGCCAGCAGTTCAGCAGAATAGTATCTGCTTTTCTTTGAGTAGTCAGGCTGGGTTTTTGGATAGAGCCGTGCATTTCATAAGCCTGAGGGAGCTGCTGATGCTGGTGAGGAATCGGAACAGTCTGGTCCCTCAGCTAGACTGGCAACTGTGGCAGTGGACTGCAGAGGAGGATGCTGAAAAGGTCTTGAGATGCCATCCTGGGGGGCAGGAGGAAATCAGGCACCTGTGAAACATTTGGGCCAGTTCCCCTCTGGTAGCTCACTGCTGTGCAAAACATTAATGCTGCATTTGCATTTATGTAGGAAGGAGATGTTCAGGGTTTGCTCCCCCCTTGGTCTCCCTTCACCTTGTTTCAGTGGATACGTGGTAAGCTTCGAGTCTGTCTTTGAACATGGTTGTATTTCAGCTGGGTGCTCAGCAGCGTTTGTTGCCATGTGGGAAGGCAGAGAGCCAGCCATTTCTCTTCACAAATCTTTCCTGGCTGTGGCTCTGCGTTCTGCCAGTTTTCTGCAACGCCCCCATGATTTTCAGGAGGTCTGCAAACGCGGGCGTGAGCACCCGCTGCTTTTCCAGGAAGGCGTCTTTACAAATGTCTCTGTCTCTTTGGCACAGTGGATCGCCCCGTCAGAGTTTATGCCGATGGAATATTTGACTTGTTTCACTCTGGACATGCCCGGGCCTTGATGCAGGCGAAGAACCTCTTCCCAAACACATACCTCATTGTTGGAGGTAAGGAGTGACCTTGTTGACTTTGGCTGTTGTAGGAGTACAGTTCACCTCTGTCTGTGGTTGTGCATACAGATGGCATAGCAGGGTTTTTGTCTTTATGGCCTTCGTGGCTCTCACTGCATCCCAAATGTTTTTGTAGTCTTATTGCAATATATGGAGAGTTAATGTTTCTGCAGAAAGATATTCTGTACCAAGTAAGTGCTTGAGGAAAAGATTTCTGATCAGGCTGTTCTAATTTGACCGCTCAATTTTGTGACAGATACCAGCGAGTTGTACATGTGAGTATCAAAATGCATTAGGAGCAGTTGAGTGCCTCTTGAATGAGACAGTTAATGAATGAGGAACAGTCCCTCGATGGCTCAGTGAGCTTTGTGTCACCTGCATTGCCCTGCAAGTCATCTCCTGCCCGGCTCCAGCTCTCTGATGGGATTGCTTATGGCTAATCCCAAGCAGCTCTGGAGATCACGGTGATTCCCTGGGCGTAGTGCCTGGTCACATGGAAGTCAATGAGGCCCCATTTCTGCAAACAAAAGTTCCCCATTTTGACTGTTAGGTTCAAAGGTCTTTAGATGATGCCAGGAATATCCTGCTGACTGCCTGAGGGGATCTAGCAGAGGTGTTTCAGCCAGACCTCCTTCAAAAATATAACGGGAAAGAAGAAACCCTTTCTTCTAGCTGCTGTAATACACTGGCCTCTGTCCAGGCAGTACCTCTGTGCCCGGACCTTCACTCACCTTAAGAACATGTCAGGCTGTGCATGTTGTCTATCAGGAGGTGACCTCTGGTCAGGCTCTGTAGTGATGTTAAACTATCAGAGCTGAGAATACCTTTAACTAGTTTTCTCAACTACTATTAGCTTCCTGAAGCAAAAGGAAACTCTGATCCTGTGATAGAGCGATCATAACATCTTCATATGGTTTGTTTCCTTATCACAGATTCACTCGTTGATGAGGGCATTTTTATAGTGGTACTTCTGCATTTTTTGTGGTGCCACAGTAGTTTCTGGAAGGGGAAGGGAGGGAGGAGAGCTGAAGTAGTTCCTCCAACCTACAAGATTCACTGAACTTAGAAATCTTGCAGGCAGAAGGACATTCCCATGTACATAAATGTAGTGGAGCAAACAGGAAAATAACTTCAGGTCAAGCTTTTAACATGTTAATGTAGCAAGGTGTGTAATCATGCTCTCTGCCTGTGGGAGACTGGTGAGGACGTGGAGGGCAACAAACTGCTCCCTTTGCACCGGGAACTGGGAGAGATGAGAGGCTACAGCCCAAATGAACATTAGCTCCAAGCTGGGAGCTATCTCACCCACTCCTTTATCATCTGTTTGTCTAGAACATAAATATGTCCAATACCAGTGAGACTGGTAATGCCTTGTTTACTTTTGAGTCTGATAACAAATAAAACTCCCTCCTTCTCAATGTCTTACACTGCAGATGATGAAGAGTTGTTCATTTGCTTTCTCATAGAACATAATAATTAAACCAACTTGATTTACTGTGAACTTACCCTTTGTTTTAATACAACTTTCCAAGAACTAGACTGTGGTATGGCATTTTGTGAAATCGGAAGCTTAGGCAGTGGGGTTTTTTTAATGGGCTTCAGCTTCCAAGCCCGAGATATCCATAGGTTTAAAAGCAGATTTCTGCCCAATACACCCTCAGGTTCCATTTCATACAGGAGAGTTGTATTCTGTATTGGGTGGTTTTCTTGATAAGCTTTGTGGGCTCTAAAGACCTTGAGGGCTTGGGGTGTAGGTCCCCAGAAATCCCCCAGATAGCCTGCCTAGACTTGCTCAGGAGTTGTGTCCTGCACTGCTCCCTGTTCCTGGTGCTTTGTGACTGGAAAAGCTGGGTTTGAAAGTGCCAGTGCCAGCCTCTGTCAGCTGCTGGCATTGCCTGGGTTAGCAGGGGTGCCTACAAGGTCCTTTTGCTGTAAAGCATTGGGGTAAGTACCTCAGGTTCACTCTTCTCTGCCTGTTTCTTCAGTCTGCAGCGATGAGCTAACCCACAACTTCAAGGGCTTCACAGTAATGAATGAAAATGAGCGGTATGACGCTGTGCAGCACTGTCGCTACGTGGACGAAGTGGTGAGAAATGCACCGTGGACACTCACCCCTGAGTTCCTGGCAGAGCACAGGGTAATTTGTGACATCTGATCTGTTCTGAGTTTTGATTAGTCTCTGTCTGTGCTTGCTGTTTATAGCAAGAATTCATCCATGGTGGTGACCTCTGCCTGAGCAACCCATTTCTGTTACAATTCCTTAAATATAGAATGAACTGGGTTATGGGAATTGAGTGGGTTTCTTGAAAGGCTAGAAGCATTTGCTGAGCTGGCAGGTAATGTTAAAATAAGGTAGAGATTGTGATGTGGTGAAAAAGCCTGAGAGGGTTCTTGCTGTTCCAGGAGAAATTGATGCTGGCTACAGATTGATGTGAAATGTAGTAGGGAGAGGGTGACATTGGTTGGAAGGGATTTCTGGAGGGTGTCTGGTCCAACTCCCAGCTTGCTACAGGAGCAGCTTAGATCTGCATCAGCTTCCCTGCAGCAGGAGACCAGGCAAGCTGTCTTGAGAGTCTTTTATCAGTAAGTAAGATAAAGTGAAAGGAGTCTCTAACATCTGTTGAACTGCTTTGGGAGGTAAATGGATCTCCAGGGGAGTTTGCTTAGTTTACCCTTGTTGCCGTTAACAAGCCATTTCTCTGTGGAGCTTAGTGGCCTTAGTCCCAGCCTTTTCTCTCTGATGTGTGTTTACAATTGATATGCAATTGCCAGTGAGAACTTGGGACTGCTCTGTTACTCTTTTAACAAAGGAAAGTGTCTTGCTGTTCTCTGTCATACCCCTGCGTGGAGGTGTTGAGCAAAAAGTTACCATCCTTCGACAGAAAGCAGGAGACCTGCACGTTCAAGATGAAATGTTGACTTGTGTTGCTTCCTTAATTTTCAGATCGACTTTGTTGCACACGATGACATCCCCTATTCGTCTGCTGGCAGTGATGATGTCTATAAGCATATAAAGGAAGCAGGTGGGTCTGGGTCAGATTCTCCAGGGCTTCCTGTCAAAGATCTACTGTATTTTCTCCTGCACCCCTGTATGGCAGGATTATGCCTGGGGCAGTGACTGTGCCCCTCTGGGAACAAGATCTGCCCAGCAGGCTCTGACAGCAGGAAGAAGCTCAGCTTTGGTCCCTACTTCATAAGGCCAGGACTTTTCCATGCCCCAGGCCAAGTATTGCCCAGCATTAATTTCTACTTCTAATCTAGCTACTGTGATTGAATTAACAGCCATGTTTTGAAAAAATCCTACGGTTTGGCTTACAGATTCTCACAAATGGAGAGTCTCATGAACTTAGCAAAGTGGCTCCTCTAGCTGTTTGCTGTAAAACTCAGTAGGCATGCAGCTTATTTAAGTCTATCCAAAGCCAACCATCAGAGCTGCTTATATTTCCACCCACTAAATTGTAGGACCCCTTGTTCTGTCCTTGTCACTACACTATTCTGTATGCAGTGAATTACAGTCAATAGTCTTTGAAGCAGCTAAAGTGAAGAGCTCTTCATTAGAAGACACGGTATTTTTACATGGTTTTGACATGCTTTGGTCTTACTTAGGTCTTCCTCCTAGTCCCAAAAAGGAAGACCCTGGTATTGTACGTTCAAGGACAAAGATGTGGTGGTGAGAGGACAGTTAGGAAATGAGCTCTTGACAGGAGAGAGCTGGCAGCAGGTTTTTGCAGTGTGTGTTACTGCAGCTGTCCTGGGTCCTGTTCCCCAACTTTAGGCATGTTTGCGCCAACTCAGAGGACTGAGGGGATCTCGACATCCGATATCATCACCCGGATTGTGCGGGACTATGATGTTTATGCCAGACGGAACCTGCAGCGAGGCTACACAGCTAAAGAGCTCAACGTCAGCTTCATAAACGTGAGTTGAAGTGTGTCTGACCACAAACTGTGTGAAGCAAAATATCACAGCGCATGGAGATGTAGAGTCTTGTCTAGCGGTAGCAGAGTCCTACTATATGCCAGTAAAAGGCCAGTCTGCAGAACTAAGCAGTTGCTCCAAACCAGTGTCCTTGGAGTAGAAATTAGACTATTTCTGCTCCTGAAACTGCCTTGGGGACCCACCCAGAGGAACTGGGGTTTTGCTAATAGTGCTCCATTGTCAGAAACGTCTTGGCGACCTTTTGCCTGTTGAAAGAGCTGGAGACAGGGTGTGTGGCGAAATGTGTGTTTTCTTGAATTAAATGAAGTGTGGGTTGTTCTTGGCATCAGCTGCTGCGTCTCGTTTCTCTCCTCTTCCCTCAGCCACCTTCTTAAGGTAGAGTCATTTGTTGGGATAAAATCTGATCTTGTTCTCACTGTGCTGTTCCCTTCCTGGAGCTGCAGGAGCAGCAGTGCTTGAGTAGGAGAGAAGGATATGCCCTGGTCCTGTGCTGGGCAGCTCTAGCCTACAGGCAGAATACACAGCAGAAGGCATTTCTGATGTTAGAAGGAAAGTAGTAAACTCTTTTTTTTTTTTTTTTAATAGTTCAGATACTGTGCCTTCTTTTAAAAATACAATCAAATACAAAAATGAAACAGGAGAGGTAACGGCTGCTTGACCTCTCTTTGGCATGTAACTCTGCCTCTGTTTAAAAACACCCAGCAAAAAGACTTGTGCTGTCATGATATGCAAAGAGACCTACAGCAGGTCACTCAAATCTAATCTGTATATGGTATAAATATTTCCCTCTTCCATGCACTCCTATTAGATAGTGCTTATCTCTGGGTTTAGTCTTGCTCTGTGTACTGTGCCAGTGCTTGCCACAAAGCATCTCACAGCCCCACTATGTCTGCCATTTAGTCTAGGGAAGAAGTGTCACTGAAGTGAAGGAGAAGTGTCACGAGACTAATGGAGATGCTGAGTCTTAAGCAGCAGTTCAGTGTAATAACACAGAGCAGAGGTGGTCGCCACTCAGATCTGGTGAGCTGTATTCTGATCCACCGCTTACTGTACAGGAGAAGAAGTATCACCTCCAGGAGCGCGTGGATAAGGTGAAAAAGAGGGTGAAGGATGTAGAGGAGAAGTCAAAGGAATTTGTCCAGAAAGTGGAGGAGAAGAGTATCGATCTCATTCAGAAGTGGGAAGAGAAGTCCCGGGAGTTCATTGGCAATTTCCTGGAGATGTTTGGCCCAGAAGGCGCATTGGTAAGGAGCCGCTCTGGGAAAAGGGGAAAGGGGATTTTGGAGAGCTCAGCAGCCATTGTAGGTCTTCTGGAGCCCATGCTCTGCAGAGCAAAGGTTTACAGTTTGTTGCAGTGCTCTATATGCTGCCTGTCTCCAGACAAGTTGTCCCAGGCTTGGGCAGCTTGTTTACAGGGAACCCTCACCCTTGACAGCTGGATAACACCAGTTACATTTGTAGCATGAAAAGTCCCCATGTCCCACAAACTGACCTGTAAACGCCAGCTTGTGTCTTGCAGGCCACCGAGCAGCCAAGAGATTGGCGGTCACTTGGTCACTGGCCTAGGATGAGTCTGAAGCTACTTGTTTTTGCCAGGCTCTCCTGTGCTGCTGAGTAAACATCACAGGCACTTCATGCAAGAGGTTCTTGAAAATGGGTGGTGATTGCACTGCACACAGTTTCCAAAGCCTAGAGTGATGCTTGGGCTCTTTCTGCTCTTATATTGCATAAAGCATTGAAGGGACACATCTCAAAACGCTGAAGTAGTGTCCATTTCCATCGCTGTTTTGTGCCTTGCTAACTGTCTTCCTGCTTCCGTCCATAGAAACACATGCTGAAGGAGGGCAAGGGCCGGATGCTGCAGGCCATCAGCCCAAAGCAGAGTCCCAGCAGTAGCCCCACGCACGACCGCTCCCCATCTCCCTCCTTCCGCTGGCCCTTTTCAACCAAGACTCCTCCCTCCTCACCGGCCAACCGCTCCCGGAACGAGTCTGCAGTCACCTACGACATCAGTGAGGATGAAGAGGATTAAGCTACCAGCCGGGATTTGCTGCGAACTGCTAATCGCCGAATCCTAAGTCGGGACCCACTGGGGGGAACTCTAAATGAGCAGGAGAGCCATAGGAACAGGGCTGACAGTGAGCACAGGGCCTTGGAGGCACTCATGGCTCTTAGCAAGGGCTGCTGCCTGGAAGCACATTCAAACCTCCTCTCCCTTCTTCTCCTCAAATCCCCTTTTTATTGTTTACGTTCTAGTGGTTTCCAGGGGGAAGGTGGTTTTTATATTTTAAGAAAATACTGTTTTAAAGCGCTAAGAATAGCACTCAAGCATGGCTTTTGTTTTGGTTTCTTTTCCCTTGTTAAACCTCCAGGCAAGAGGGAGAGTGGGAAGACCCATCTGTGTCTTCTTTCCCTCAGCTCCTTCCCCCACCCCCAGGTAGTATCCATGCCTCTGCCAAACGAAAGACCTCTCGATTCCTCAACCAACGTGACCTTGAGAGCACGCAGGAAGCAGTGGTGTAAAGAGGCTTCTAATAAATAGAGACATCTCTGCTGCCCTGGAGCTGACAGGAATCTATCTGGCAGACCCTGTAGTGCTCACACACCTCTTAGCTGAGCTTCCCAGCGTGTTGCGGTGAGGACGTGCTGGGTAGGGGACTGACAGCACACAAGAGTCACACCCTGGAAGAACCTGCAGCACCATAGAGTCACACACCCGTAAGCGTGCAGCATCCACAGCTCCAGATTGAGCAGGGGCTGCAGGGGAAAGGTCTTTCCAGCTGATCTTAACAAGACTGATAAATCTTGAGCTAAAATTCAGCCCTCAGTTGCTGTTGGAGAGAAGAGAATGAATCTTGGCTATGGGGCACTTGCTGTCTGTGCATTTCCTTGTGTGTGTGAGAGCCCTGGTTGGTAATGAACATGTGTACTCCTTTGAGAAGTTCCTTGTCCCGATCTCTGGTGTGTCATAAGTTTTACTGTCTGTCCAAATGGCCCCTCAACACTGTGCTCTGTGCGTGTTTGTCTGTGTTTCAGTTGCTGTGCTCCAAGGGCTGGATCAGCCCTTTACAGTGGTGCCAGGAAGCCGCTGCTGTAAGGACAGAACGTTAATTGGTACAGCCAGTTTGCTGTCCGTGTTGGTGTCTGCAGCTGGACAGGTGAAGGGCACGTTTTACCCCAGTGAAGGGTCCTGGTCCCGTGTGACAGTTACCCAGCTTGCGCAGTAAATGCAGCACACATCGGCGCCCGCTTACTCCGCTCCTTGAGGCGGGCTAGAAAGAGCATCAGAGAGCACTGCAGCTTTTTAAGATTTTAAACATGTGATCTGCTCGTTTGAAACCATGGTCCAAGCTGTGCCTGCTGTCGTGTCTGTAATAAACACTGAGCTTTGTGGCCTGCAGCTCCCCGTGGGCTGTTGCCCTCCCCGTGCTGCGTGCCTGTGTGCAGAGCATGTCGGTGTGCTCTGTCCCAGCAGCCAGTGCTGGAGGGACTGGACTGTCATCTCGCATAGCAGTGAAGCTCCCGCTTGCTGTTCTGTTCAGGTTTGCCTGTGATAGCTGTTGTCTCTGGATGGAGCTGCTGGGCTGAGTTGCCTGTATCCTCCTACGATGCTGGGAGCAGAGGAGGACAGCTTGGAGCCCAGTCAGCAATACTGCAGGGAGGTGTTCAGAGCAGGATTTGGAGGCAAATCAAGTGCTGCTGCAGGCTCCGCACGGCACAATGCTTCCAGGCGATGCGGTGGCCCTGTGGTAGAAGCAGGCTGCTGCTTCTTCCCAGCTTTTATCTTGCTGATCCTTTGTCATGTTGCCCAAAGGGCTTGACAGAGACTCTGTGCTTCTGTTGAGGCGCCAGAGCCGATACGGGAAAGGGTTTGTTGGGGATTCCTCATCTGCCACTTAGACCTCTCTCAGCAGGGACCTGCACAGCTCTGGGAGCCTGGCTGGCCGCTGTGGATTTTAAGGTGTAAAGAGGAAATAATGGTCACTTGGTACAAGCCAGTTGTTAATCCCCTGGTTTATGAGTGGTAGAACACTTACTTTATCTCACTCACATTCTGTCTTCCCTCATCTTCCTCACCTTCCCTTCCCTCAGTGTGGGTGTTGCATTGCTTTCCTGAGCCGGATCACAAAGACCAGGCTGCTTTAGAGCCTTACTAATGTTTTAAACACAACTTATGCAACAGTGTTCTGTAAATTTGGATAGCAGTGGTGTTTTGAATGGTGGTTTGTTCTGCAGAGACCTTAATATATTTCTTGGTCTCTCTGCAAAATGTGGGGTGCTTTGTAAGAAGCCAGCCATGGTTTTACATGTAGCTTGGAATAACAGAGCTGTTTCTTGTAACCAATAATCCCTGCTTCTTCCTTGCACTTAAATTAAATTCAACATTCAAATCCCAGACTAGTCTTTTTTTTTTTTCCCCTTTGTTTTTTTGTTTCCTGCTGGTTTACTGGACCAGCCTTATCTCCAGCACTGCCATGTCCTATCAGGAATAGGACAGAGCTTGATCCTTGGGCAAAACATGTGAGCCAAGTTCTCCAGGAACATCTTGTTACCTGCAGATGTACCCAGTGGTGCTGCTTCAGGGCTGTCCTGCACACCCCTCACACATCCCACAGTCTTCAAAAAGAAGCATCCAGAAGAGAGATGCTGGAATTAAGCAGGAAGTAAGAGGTAGAGTGGAAAATTAAAACTTTACTAGCATGCATTGAAGAACACATGGAGTTTGTGGAGTTTCTGGAGTTTCATGCTGCTAAATCTAGAGGCATTGACTCCTGTGAGACAGCCTTACCTCAGGTCTTCTGTAGATCTGGGGTGTGAAGCTGCTGGTACCAGCAGCCAGTCCCTGGGAGGGGATTTTCTGATGGCAAAGAACAGCCTGAAAGGTGCCAAGGATGCTGGTAGAAGCAAGGCATGAAGAGTGTGGCACTTTAACAGCATATTGCTTAGAGCGGTAGAAGGTCTTTAGTCTGTTAAGAAAATTATGGGACACATCTGCACTGACGTGATTTTGTGCATTTTATAGAGAGTTGGGACTTGATTGTGCAGTCCAGCTCTTGTAACCAGAGGCAAGAGGTGGAGCAGCAAATACACTTGGCAGTATTGGTGACTTTGGTGGGACAGACCCTGCATCTCACCCCCTGCCCTCAGCGAGGGCTTCTCACTGCCAAGGGCTCCCTGGTGTAAAGGTCTGAGTTTCCTACCTGCCACAGGTAAGGAGCTGAGTCTGGTTGGTTGATGGAGGGAGATGAGTCCCATATTTTGCTGCTTGTCTGAGTGTTGCTTCTTGGCAAAATCATTAGATTGCTGAAGTCCTGGCACTTCTGCTGGTGCCTAGAGAGCAGTGTTGGTAATGGCTGTGTGCTGTTGCTGGGAGCCTGTCAAATTTGGCAGTCTTATAACAAATCACCAGGGTGTCTGGCTGAGCAGTTTCGCTTTGAACACAGCCACCTGCCAAAAGCTCTGAGACACTTTTCCCCTCTCCTCCAGAAACTTGCCTTTTCCCTAAAATTAATCAATTAAATAAGTAGAAGTTGGGAGCTTTGGCTTTGTGTCTCTTTGCTGCCCCAGTGTGTCACACTGGCCAGAGGTATTATAGTGGGAGGGCACTGGGGTGCAGGTCAGGGGAAGCTTCAGAAGCTTCAGCAACAGGCTCTCGTCTTAGCACTGATGGTCCAGTATCTGCTGCCCATCTCCAGCCTTGTCATGGCCCCGTCCTGCCATCACCCCCAGCCCCACAGCAGCGGCCGCTTCAAGCCAGCTTCTCCTGGTCGGTGTTTGCTGTGGTGGTTTCTCTGTAAGGACCTGTGTGCACACCCTGTCTTACTGGCTTGTTCTGGAGTTGAGTTTTTGGCATTCGTGTTTAACCAAATGAATACAAAGTCATTTTACTTGGTGAGTGCCAGATCCCTTCCGCCATCCTAGCGCAGCCGGCTCCCGTTGTGGTCTCCTCACCTGCCATCTTAGCAGTGGTTTGAGTGAGAAGATGCTTCAGTGAGGAGAAAAAGATAACCCAGAGGTTTCTGCAAGTCATCATTGCTCCTGATGTCCGTCCCCACCTCTGTTGTAGGTGTAGAGCAGATACTGCTACTGGAGCAGGTCCCAGGCAAGGCTCCTTAAGGCAGCATTAACTAATTGCGTGTTATGAAGGTGCTTCAAGGCTCCTTCCTTTGCCTGGCCCCAGGCTGGCGGGTGTGGATGCTCCTGCTG